ATGTTGTTTTTCTAATTCTTTTCACATAAACGAGTTTTTAATTAATCTTTAAATTCTTTCATTTTTTACTCGTCCTTTATAATATGTACGTCCCGGCTAATATCTACGAATTATTATATCTTTCTTTAAATGTTTTAATTAATGATTAATTATCGTTAATGGGATATGCTATTAATGTCATCGAAGATAATAATTACGATTTTATTACGATCGAACTTCTCGAATGATGCTAAATTAAGAAATGCAAAAGTTTCGACCTTTGTGATCGAACGATTTGCTTTATCTATGTGAGAGTACGTTTATACGTATTACGTATTGTACTCATTACATGTAACAAAACTTTACATGTGTTATTTTCTTTTCTTTTTTTTTTTTCCTTTTTTTCTCTTTTCTTTTTTTTTCTTTCTCGATATATACATATACATATGTGTAACTTTGTTTTATGACTTTGAGTTAAGTTTCTAATAATAAAAATAACATAACGTAACAATTCGTAAAATAAGAAAAAAAATATTATACGAATCGTTAAATAGAGTATTTTAATTGCAATGTGTCAAATAAATCTTTCGCAAAAAATTATTTCTCTTTCTCTCTCTCTCTCTCTTTCTCTATCTATCTCTGTCTCGCTCTTTCAATTATCATTTCTTTCTTTCTCTTTATTACTATGATACGTCATCGTAGCTATGACGTATTTAATCTAATATTAGAATATCACGAATTCTAATATCGTTGAAAATCATTATGCATTGTGTATTAACATTGATAATTAATATAAGCGTTATAACTTTTCTAAAAATTTACATCGATTATTTCTCTATCTCTTATGTAGAGAAACAAAAAAAAAAAAGGAAAAAGATAAAAGTTCATATCTCAAAAAATACAAATCTTTTCAATATCATCGAGCGTTAAATCGAAAATTACGACACGCAGATATCTATCTATATATTGTTGATTATATACAATAATTCAACCGCGTTTCTCGTTAATTATATAAATGGAATGCATTTAATGCGTCTTTTTTTTACATTCGTTCTTAGGTACATACGATTAATTAACTAATTAATTAATATCCAATGGAAGACGATCAAGCGGAAGGCACTTGTAGCATCTTAATAAATCACGATTACTTGGAGAATAAGAATTATATATAGTTTAGTCGACGTACATATATCTAACAGTTCTGTTACAAATATGAAACAATATTAAATGACCTTTTATAAATACAATCCACGACATTTAAACATATGTGATATAAAATATAGACACTGATTAAAGAAAATTTATATCTCAAGTTTTCAACGATTCCACATTTTTTTTTTATAATTTCATTGTAATTCAAACTTCTACTTTCTTTTCTTTCTTTTCTTTTTTTTTTTTTTTTTCTTTTCTTTTTTTTTGTTGATAAAGTTTGAAAGGACTCTTAAAATGCATCCGTGAAAGAGATACCATTGATTGGTTGACCAATCTTGTTGTCAAATTTCTTTTTTCTTTCTTTTTTTTTTGGAAGGGAAAATTTAATCTTAACCCTTTTAATACCCTAGAACTCCAGCTTTTCATTTTTAACACAACTCAAATACACGTAATGACATTTTATTTCATTTACGAAAAATAATCGTTTCGATTATGAAAATAAAATATTTCAAATTGAAAATAAAATAACATAAGGAAAAAGAAAATAAAAAATACATGAAAACATTTTCATTTTTAAGAAAAACACGTTAACTTAAACGTGTTTCTCATAAAATCGCACATATTTCAAAAGATATTTTTCAATGATACTCGAAAAACTTATAAAGGTATTATAAGGATTAAACATAAATTACCTTCACATGACAATCTTGGTCACACGCATAGTTACGTACATTACGTATTGAATTAATTTACAAAAAAAGTTTATTAAAATATTCATATTCTAGATCGGCTCTCTCTCTCTCTCTGCTCTATGTTGCTTTCTAAGTGTTTCGCCGATGTCGTGGTCGTCGTTGTGGACGTAGACGAGGTCGTAGTCGTGGTCGTGGACGAGGTCGAGATCGTAGTTGTAGTCGTAGTCGTGGTCGTGGTCGTTGTCGTCGTCGTCGTCGTCGCTCTCGTCGGCGATGAAGATGAGTGTCATCGGCCATCTTCTCCGGTCATTCGTTCTCGTTTTCATCGTTGAAATACAAGGACACTATAGAGTGTTTCTTACAAAATGCCCACCACCAACGAAAACCCGAGAGCCCGGTAAAGACGAACCCAGGATCGCGTTTTCGTCTTAACTTTTCAACGAAGTTCAATATCACGTTAAGGGACTTTTTCGTTCGTCGATTATATGGGCTAATGCTTATGTCGCAACAAAATTCAAGGACGGCCGTTTCCTCGTTCGAATTTAAACCAGCTTCCTCGAGAACCATCATCCTCTTCGATTTACCAAGGATGTTGTCGTATAGGGTGCCCTTAGGTATACCATACTTCGTTGATGCCTGTGTGAACCTCATCTTTTGGGTAACCACAGCCTCGATTGCTTCTTGAAGGTCATGCCGAGTCCACGTAGGTGCCTTCAGCTTCAGCAGGCTCGTATA